GTTCTTGTCCCAAGTCCCTCTGCAGCTCTCCTGGAGCCCCTTTAGGCACTGGAAGTGGCTCTGAGGTCTCCCTGGAGCTTCTCCTCTCCAGGTGAACACCCCCAGCTCTCCCAGCCTGGCTCCAGGGCAGAGCTGCTCCAGCCCTCGGAGCATCGTTGCAGGATGTTGGGGAGCAGCCCCTGCCGTGCAGGGCTGGGGAAACAGCAGCACGTGGAGTGCAGTGACAACAGGACGGAGCATCCAGGCTGGAGCTCTCCCGGGAGCAGGAGTGGAGCTGCTGGCAGAGCCTTGGGCAGAGCCCGAGCCCTGCAGCCTCTTCCTGCAGCCTCTTCCTGTGCCATGGGCTGGGCACTTTCCCGGGATAAAGCCTAGGTGTATTTAAGCACTGCCTCGTGCTTTATCAGCCTCTCCACGGCTTCGCCTAAGTGGATTGCAGCGGTAGGTGTAATGGAATTAAGGGATTGTTCATGACAATAGGTTTCGGCAGTGCTGAGTGCTCCTGCTGCTCTCACCCTCCCAAGCTCCTCTCACCCTGCTGGGCTCCTCTCCACATCGACGTGGCCCTAACGCTTGTCCAGCTCCTCCAGTGCTTCCTGCTTGGTAACTCTCCACCATCCCTCAGGGATTTCTCCTTTGCCCTGAAATTTCCCTTTGTACAAATCCTCTAGCTCTGTCTGGAAACGACACACAAACCATTTCCAGTAGGCTTGCATGGATGAATCAGGAAGGATGTTCCAAGTGGAATAAGGAGGTCCTACAGTCCGGTAACTCTTGTAGGGGATCCACGTGTCACTACCAACACAGAATGCAGTGTTACTTGCGACACTGCTAGAACAGATATCAAGGACCAGCTCAGGGGTTTCGAGCCACTTCCGTCCCGTCAAAGCCTCTGGCCGATGGAAGATGAGCTGATGGTCTCCGTCGTGTCTCGGCATGGTGTTCGTGCAGAGAGCCCCACAAAAGGGACACTGCTCACTGCACCCCAAGAACTGCTCTGCCAGGATGGTGTGAGGCTCCCTTTCAAAGCAGCTCATTTCAGCATCAGCAAACAGTTCCCTGAGGTTGTGCTCCAGGGCAGTCAGTGGCTCTGCCATGGCAAAACCACAGCACAACAACTCTGTCCTTCTGAGACTTCACACCTGCACACTGCTCTCCAGCCCCTGCCCCACCTCCTTCCTCACGCCATTCATCAGGAAGAAAAGACAAACACCAGTAAAAGGCATGGAAAAATTTATTCTTTGCTGAACTTTAATAGATTTTTGTTTGGTTTAAACACAATAAATATTTCAGTAATAGCATTGAACAGACTGGAACTCACACCCACTGCAGTACCTGAAGCCCCAGAGCCAGGACTCGGGGCAGTAACCGGCGTCCCTGGGCTCACAGCAGCTCTCCCTGGGCCACTGCCAGGATCAGTGGCCACTTCAGCCAAAAGCTCGAGGGACAGATGCAGGTCAGTGATCCTGCTGGGAGGGAGGGGGTGGATTCTGAGGCCTCCAACCCGAAGCACTGCACCAGCTCTGACCACATGGCCACGGCAGGTGCTGCAGGCCGAGACGAACAACACCTTGGAGAGTGAGGAGTGAATTTCCCCTAGACCCTCTGCTCCTGGGGCAGGGATGCCCTGGCCACATCCTTGGGGCCAGCCTAGAGCTCTCTCCAGCCAGGTCTGACCACACCTGGATAGGCCAAAGGGTCTTTTACACACTAACCGTGACCTTTCCCACGAGCAGAGGTCAGCGTAGCTCCCAGTGTCCCCATGGAATCATTTGGGTTAGAAAACCCTCAGACAGCGAGTTCAACCATCCCCAGCACTGCCAAGGCCACCACTGACCATGTCCCCAGTGCCACATCCACGTGGCTGTTCGATCCCTCCAGGGATGGTGAGTCCCCCTGCCCTGGGCAGCTGTGTGGAATTGTTCCTGATATCCAAACTAACCCTCTCCTGGTGCAACTTGAGGCCATTTCCTCTTTTGTTCTCATCCCACCAAGAGCAGCCTCCAAGTCACCTCAGCCACTGCTCTGACACAGCCACAGCGAGGCAGAGCTGGGCAAAAGTAGGAGTCAGGGCTAGTTTCCCAAAAGCACTGCTTCCCTAGGGACTTCCCAGGTCTGTCATGAGCAGGCACAGATGCTCTCAGAGAAGAGTTTAAGGGCCTTGCTAGAGCAGCTCTGACTACTAGCTGCAGGTCCCCGGTGCACTGGGAGGTGACCCCAGGCCAGCTCTGTTTAAGGAGCTTAAAGACATGTTCCCAGAGCCTCAGGAGCTCCTGCTCCCAGCACACTGCTCCCAGCTCTGGCAAAGCCCCTGGCTCGGACAGCTGATGTTTACAAGGAGAGGAAGCAACTGAGCCCTGATGTGACCGATCAGGGGCTCCAGGAGAGCTGCAGAGAGACTTGGGACAAGGGATGGAGGGACAGGACACAGGGAATGGTTCCCACTGCCAGAGGGCAGGGACAGAGCGATACTGGGCAGGAATTGCTCCCTGTGAGGTGCTGAGGCACTGGCACAGGGTGTCCAGAGCAGCTGTGGCAGCTCCATCCCTGGGAGTGTTCCAGGCCAGGCTGGAGCAAGCTGAACTAACACTGTCGTCCCTAGAAGAAGAGAGAACAGGTACCAGGCAGGAGGAGCTGAGGAGCCAGGACACATCCTCTCCATCCCCGGGAGCACATCCCACCGCGAGAGCAGATCCCACCCAGCAACCACCACCACTGTACATCCCCCCCAGGGGCTCTTGGCCGGGAACACATTCATTAAGACCTAAAACCATGACGATGTCACACCCCAGCAAGGCCACATGGTTTGGTCTCTGTTCATTTCTATTTCCCTCTCAAAATGTGGGAGCAGAGAACACTGGATTTCCAGCAGCCCAGGGAGAAGCCCTCCCTCCCTCCCCAGGAGCACGAGTGGGGGCAGAGGCACACGGGCACTGAGATGGGCTCTGCTGCCTCCCTGCTCCAGTGGCACTGGGCACAAGGCAGCCTGGATCCCAGCAGTGATTTAAGGAGACATTTTTCTAGTTTCAAGGTGCAATAAATTAAGGCACCAAAAAGCCAGGACTCTCCAAGAACAAAGCCTGTGCAGGGAGGAAGCAGTTTCAGTTTTGAAGGGAGATGTTGCTCCCTCACACTAAGATTTAAGCTCAGACAACTTCTCCCAGCATCAGCAGCATCCAAGTGCTCCGAGCGCAGCGACGCCGCGGGAAGGGACAGGACCAGGCAAGCGCCAGGACTGGGAGCCCAGAGCTCAGCTGGAAGGCTGAGGGAGCAGCTCAGGTCTCCCCTGGTCCTGCAGACAGAGCAGTGGACAGCAAACCTCCCCAGCCCCAGGTTCTGGCAGTGCTGCCACCCGAGCGTGTCCCGGGCCGGTTCCCCCGTGCGTGGCTCCCCTTTATCTCCACCATTCTACTTCACTGAGCAGCAGGAGTCAAAAATTCAAGTGCAGCCCGATTTGTTTGCCCACTGAGGTTTCTCTTCTGCCCACCAGCACCACAGACAGGAGTAAGCTGCTTTATTAAACGCCCTCTGGCACACACCCCTCGCCCGGCGCCCCCGGGAGCCCCAGCTCACTGCCCTCGGGGGTACTGTGCCCACGGGGCACCCTGTCCTGCCCCGCGGGAGCTCACCTCAGCCGTTCAAGTCTCACCATCTGCATGACAATGATTTACACAAGGAAAAAGCATTCAATCGTAGTTACAGGCTGAAGGTTTCCCAAAGCAGAGGAGGACAATGCTGTGCCCGAGCCGTGACAGCTCGTGCTGCACAACAGTCAGTGTGAAGGACGTTGTTCCCCTGGTGGTTACACCTGCACCATGGGCTGTGCTTGTTCTCTTCCGGATGCAGCCTGTCCAGAGCCTGGCTTTGGGCTACACTCTTCATTCAAGCACAGGTCTTCATTAAACCAAGCCAAAAGGAAAGAAAATCAGCATTCAGTCTTCACCACCCCACACAAACTCAATTATGAAAATTAATTAAAAAATCAATGCAAACATGTCTTTGACAAGTGGACAATAAACGAGGAGATCCTTGGGTGAGACGCAGCCGCTGGGGACAGAACGAGGTGAGATTTGGAGCAGCTCCCACAGCACTGTGAGCTCTCTGCAGGTGCACACAACCACAGGAGGCTCCGGGTGCTCCTCCAGGCGGTGGAATCGCGGGAGGGGAGGGCCAGGCTGGGCCTGGCTGCGCAGAGGCAGCTCAGGCAGCATGCAGAGCTGACCCACAGCAGCACACTCATGCTGGTGGGAAGAGGGGGCAGCCTGGCTCTGCAGTCCCAGCCACCTTCTGTGGCCATTCGGAGCACAGACCCCACTCCTGGACTGGGAATGCACATGGACAGGCAGGAACACGGCTGAGATGTGGTCCCAGGCAGCACAGCTCGAGCACGGGAGGCAGCAGCTGCATTCCCACCCCTTCAGGAACTTCAGCCCTGATTTCCTAACCCCTCAAACAGGAGATAACTACAAGTTTTGTGTGTGTTGTTCTATTTTTTCCCCTCTTAACGAAGATGGGGCGAGTATTTGCCCAAATGCAGGAAGGCAGGACAGTGTGGGAGAACTGTCACCACGGGCTCCTGAAGCCCCAGCCCAGGACTAAGGCTGCCCAGCAGGATTAGGGACAGCAAGGAACTCCCCCAACCACCAGGATGTTCCCCTGACCCTGGAGAAATCAGCCTTTGTGGTGGTTTGGGTGACAGGCCAAGGGGCTTTGCTCAGGTGAAGCACTTGCATCCCCAACCAGCAAGAGCTGGAGCCAGAGGTTTCACTGGGAACATTCAGCTGGTCTAAGATACAGTAACAGTGACCTGAAAGGCTCTTCCCCCTCCGGTTTCACTCAGAACCCAAAGCTTGCAGTGATGGGAGAGCAGCAGGAGCTGCCCCGTAGCAGTCCTGCCCCGGCTGCGCCGGACACCGTGCGCCCTTGGCCCTGATGTCTGTCCAGAGGATAAGTTTGGATCTGTGGCGATGGGTGAAGTATTTACAGGTATTTGCAGCAGGTATTTACAGTACTTCTGCAGCCTGCAAGCTGATTTTCTCCTCCTCCACTCCTAGTCAGTCTGGCGTGGGCTTCTTTAGGGAGAAGGGCCGGATATTGAAGTGCCTGCTCAGCTGGCTCACCTGGGGACGAGGCAGACACAGGACCAGGTTAGCCAGGCTCAGAGGGGTGAGCAGGGAAGCAGGCAGAGTGCCAGACCCCTTCCCTGCACGGCTCAGAAAGCCCTGTCACCCTCCTGCACCCGCTTTGCCCACCCTACCTGTGCCCCACAGACTGAGCCCAGGCTTTGCCAGCATCACACTGGGGCTGGCTGGACACCTGGCTCTGCAGGGTGCAGCCCTGCTCCCTTCCCACACCTCCCAAACAACAGCCTGGTCTACCTGGGAGCACTCACACCTCTGTCCCTGCCCTCCTCGGGGCAGGAGTACAGCAGG